CAAATGTGGCAAATTGTTAATGATTAGTAAATCTAGATAAATAGTATTCGGGTGTCCAATGTATTATTCTTTCAGTCTTTCTGTAGGTCTGAAAATTCTCAACACAAAAGTTGTTAGGAAAAGTGCTACTTATAGTATCAAATACTTACTTCAAGGGTCCAACTTAGTAATATCCTACTTCCCCTGACTGTTTAATCTTAACCTCTAAACCAAGTGGTCTCCAAATCAGGTACATACATCCTAGGGGACAGACAAAAGCAACCACTGAGATATAGGAAGAAAATATTATAATTTCTATTAATAACTTTTTATCTTATCCTTTTAAGATTTCTATTTTTTGATGTGTTTCATAATGTACAAGATGCATTAGCACAGAACTTATACAACCTGTAAATAAACATACATACATATTTTAAGGCTACATAACTAAAAAAAATTGTTACTCATCATGGTATCTGATCAAAAAATTTCGATACTACTCTTCTATGAAATAGAACTATTTTTTTAAAAGTCTCTGACGACCAAAAGATCTTCAAAATCAGTCCCTTTTGCTTTTATCCAGGAGTTTACTGGCTTCTAATAATTTACTATCAGAAATTCTATGAGACTAAAAGAAGAAGCAGACAATGATGGCAGTGGGAAGTGTCAGCAGAAGCTAGAGAGTTAGAAAATCAGCAAAGTACAGTTTGACCACAAGTTAGCAACAATAAAATGTTAAATTTTGTTCAGCAAGGAAATATAGGGTTTTAAATACTGAGATTTAAAGTGTTCTAGACTGTCATAAGGAAAAAACATTTTTGAAGCTATGAAAACTTCAAAAAATACACTATAAAGTACTATAATTTCAAAAGAAGAGCATACTAGAGACAAATACATAAAACTGAGACAGCTTTGCTTGAAAACCAGGTGGGCAAGTCATTATAAATAATACAGAAAACAATCTAGGTACTTGGTAAGAACAGTTAACTGAATCATGATTCTAAAATAAAAGATAACTGATAATAAGGCCTTTGAGGCC